ACACACACACACACACACAGGCACCCTCTCTTGTGACCATTCCCAGCTCTGGGAATTCTACTCTTTGCTACTTTTCTAACTCAGTAAACTCTCCCACTAAACAAACAAACAAAACACTCTAAAGATACACACACAGATATGTATGCACATATCCCTAACGAGTCAAATGGTGCTGGAGGTGTGGCTCAAGTGGTGGAGCTCCTGCCTAGCAAACACTAGGCCCTGACTTTAAACCCTAGTAGTGCCAACATAATAAAAAATAATAAAAAAATAAAAGCAAATCTGCTAACCTTTGGTCATCTGTAAATCCAGGTCATCTGGAGACCAGATATCTTACTACAGTTGCCTTCCACTTACCCTAATAGATTCCATCTATTTGGGATCTGCCTTGGTCTTCAATGGTCTCCTCAAATGAGCAGCCAGGCTCAGACCAGCTCTGGCTGTGCACCCGTTGTCTATGTTCTGTTTGTCCTCCAACAAAATATAGGTCACGAGCCAGGGGAAACTCTTGCTTGGGCAGAGCTAGTCCATAGACATGACTTTATCCAGGCCAGATATGAAATGTGACTTTTGGAGACAGAGACAGGACAGCCTCAATTTTCCCCAAATCAAGACTAATACAATTAGAGTTTTGAAGATAATAGGGACTTTGCGGATAATAACATCATGTCTCCTTGAAAGTGCCAAACTAAATTCTTCTTTAAGACTATACAATTCATTTTCATTTTCAAAAGAAGGATAAGCAGTTTCTCACTGCCAATGGGTCTTGAGGAATTTTTCCCCCAAAAAGTGACTAAAAGGTGATTTTATGTTTTTCTCTTTAAGTCATTTCATTGCTGTCGTGGTGGTGGTGGAGCTGGCCCCGTGCATGCTAGGCTAGTGCTCTACCGCTGAATTACATATTAGCCCCTCTTGGGATCTTATATGTGAGAGAAAAACACTAGTATGCTGACACTACTATTTTTCAGATTTCTGCTGATAACAGGTAACAATATGGCTGGTAATTTTCTGTAGCCTAAGTTTGGAAAGACTCAGAAAATAAGGTTTATACTTCCCATACAGATTTGGAGAAGTGACTATGAGTCACTTCTCATACTTAGCCTGACTCAGGTATTTTGTTACAGTATCAGAAACAGACTAAAACATATGCCGCAAAGGAAGTCAGCATGGAGGCACAATTACTGCAGGTCAGACAAGCTGGCTCTTCACAATATTAACAGTAGCTGCTGCTGATTGAAGAGACTCAGCCCCTTTATGCTACAATAAACTCGTAGCTTGGAAGAGAGAAGAAAAACCTTCTGAATTAATCCCCCCAAATTTAAATTGATTCAGAAAACTTGGAAGTTACTGAGAAAATCCCCAGTTTGACTAAGATGAAGTTTCTGTCATTAGGCTGAATGGGAATTTGATATAGAAATTAGGTTGTTACAGGAAAATAATGAAAGTTCCTGTTTTAGATCTCTGCTTTGGTGCTGAGAGTCATGGCTGCTACATATAAATTGTTATAATGATGTTGCATCATTCTGAGGAGAATTAGGGGAGAAAGAGATCACTTAATTTGCAACCACTTGACCTAATGATAGTGTAACATAACTGTTGCATTTTCTTCACTTCCAGGAGGAAGAGGAAGTTACTTGCATGAGGTGTACATCGAAATCAAACCCCGGAAGGATGAGTATGTGACATTTTTTTGAGATTGTGTCCACATAGTTATTGTGTCACATTACCTTTAAAAAGCAATTAAACCTTTTTTTGTTCGTTTGTTTTGTTTTTAGGTGGTGGTGGTATTGGTGTTTAAACTTAAGGGCTTTGCCCTTGGCAGGCAGGTTCTCTACCACTTGGGCCATGCTCCCAGCCTTTTTTGCTTTGGTTATTTTTTAAATTTTATTTTATTATTTTTTTGGCAGTTCTGGGTTTGAACTCAAGGCCTTGTGCTTGCTAGCTTGTGCTCTACCACTTCAGCTACTCCATTAGACCTGCTTTGGTTGTTTTTCAGATAGGGTCTTCTTTTTTTGTTGTTGCCTGGTTGGACCACACACTGTGATTTTCCTAACCTCTGCTTCTTGCATAGCTGGGAAGACAGGAGCTTGCCACCACAGACAGCTTATTTGTTGAGATGGGGTCTCACTAACTTTTTGCTAGATTGGCTTCAAACCAGAATCTTCCCAATCTCTGACTGCTGAGTAGCTGGGATTGTAGAAGTGAGCCACTTAGCCAGGCCTTAAACTTTCAGCTTTTAATTAAAAAAAAACATTTTTGGCAGTACTGGAGTTTGAACTCAGGCCCTAGTGCTTGCTAGGCAGGTGCTCTACCACTTGAACTATGACCCCAGCCCTCAGCTTTTAATTTTTTTATGGTCAAGTGAAATGTCAAATGTAAATCCTTACTCAGGTCTGTCTGTGTCTTGCTCAGAGGCATGACCAGCAGAAGGCAGTAGGCTGGGCTGGGGCCTGGTGCCCTTTCTGGGTGGAACATGGGTACCTCACCAGGTCCTCCTGTGTGACTACCTTCTACGTCTCAGTCTTGCTCCCCATGGTACTCTCTAATGGCTTTTCATCATATTCTCCATGACCACTATGTCAATAATTACCTTAAAAATCATTGAAAGTCATCTCTTTGGAAGAAAGTGGAGGAAGATGTCAGCAAGAACTGTAAAATTTTGGGCCAGGCATGGTGGTACATGCCTATAATCCCTGCTACTCGGGAGGTAAAGATAGGAGAATCTTGGTCTGAGGCCAATCCTGGACAAAAGTGTGAAATTCTACCTGAAAAATAAACTAAAGCAAAAAGGGCTGGAGTGTGGCTTAAGTGGTAGAGTGCTTGCCTACCAAGTGCAAGGCCCTGAGTTCAAACCCTAATTCTGCCAAAAAAAAAAAAAACCTGTAAAATTTGAAACCATGGACAGAGAGTTAGTGTTTAGAGTGAGCTGAGAAACGGCCAACTGGTGACATTCTTCCTTGGTGCTGACAGGGTCGGTGCTGGTATCACAGAGGTGGAGCACTAGGGCCTCTGGGGGCTGACTGGCCTTCTCACTGTGGTGGGTTTTGGTTTTTTTGGCAGTACTGGGGCTTTGAACTCTGGGCCTCATGCTTGTTAGGCAAGCACTCTACCACTTGAGCCATTCTGCCGGCCCTTAGCCCCCTCACTGTGAATCAATGCTAATAGGCTTGATCCCTTGACAAGGGCCCCAGAGTTTTTGGGTTTATTATGGAGAAAATTATTGAAATGGGATAGGCAGTACAATCTGAATGGTTAATAAAAAATTGGTTTGTATTGTGTTCATCAGTTATAATAAAATACCTGAGAGAATTTTGAAGAAGAGAGGTTTATTTAGATGTTTCAGTCCATAGTCAGGTGGCCCCATTGCTCTGGGCCTCTGGAGGGGTAGGAGATGACAATGGTGATACACATGGAAGACAAACTGCTCATGACCAGGAAGCAAAGGAGAGAGAGAAGAAGGGGCCAGGATCCCACAGTTCTTTTCCTGGGCACACCCCCAATGACCTAAGGACCTCCCACGAGGCCCACATCCAAAAGGTTCCTTGATGTCATAGTAGTGTCATCCTAGAGAGCAAGACTTTAACACATGGGCCTTTGAGAGACACTCAGAAGCCAAACTAGCATAGTATAAACAAGTGAAAAACTACAAATGATGATGTAAGTAATAGTATTAAGTAATATTTATTGAGTGCTTATTATGTGTTAGGCACCACGCTAAGTACTTTCCATACATTATCTCACTCAATCCACACATGAGCTCTGAGGGAGAGGACAAACATTACCCCACTTTATAGACAAAGACGCTAGGGCTTATCGAGGCTATGGCTGCCTGTAGTCACTCAGTTTGTGAGCGACCAAGCTAGGGCTTGAACCTTGGTTCCTCTGGCCTATAGTCAAAGTTCCCAGCAGAAGGGTAGCCATTTAACATCTTTAGCTCCACTGCTGGAGGGAACTCAGTTATGTCATTTGTGGGATGGCACTCACTGGAACCATACTTTCTTACCCCAGCAATTGTTAGGGAGTAACAACTTGATACTTACTCAGGGTCAGACATAGATCTGGCTTCAGATAGCCTTTGGGATGGGGATGGAAGGAGCTCCTGGACGCTTGCTACCCAGAAAGGGCTTTCACAAGGCTCTGCTTATGCAGATGAGGGTGGTGGATCAGGAACGGAAAATGGAGCTCAATAATACTGCCTTATAGAAACCAGACTGTGACATTTTTTCAGTTTATATCATCCGTGGACCATTACAACAAAAGCATTTTCTTACAGATGAAGCTACATACAGCAATATTAATTACAGATATAGCTTGGATTTTACAGTCCCTTCCCAACAATTTGAGGTGATTCTTGTGATCCTGGAATCTAAATATGGCATCACCATTACATTCTGGACAAAACCAGACATATTGCTAGGAAGGGACGCAAACTTGCAAGATGTCACATGATAGCAGCAACAGGTAGGACAACAAGACCAAATGTTTTCAACTTTCATAAATATGAGGGGATACATCCCCTGATGTTTTTGAACTTTAAAGTTCTTTCCACTGTCAAGGTGTTGGGCAGTCCTTGGTGACATTCTCTCTTTCAGACTCTTAACTCTAGAGTTGGCAAATCCGATGTCTTGTCAATCTGCAAGCTTTTCTGTGGGACCATGATTCAGATCACAGCTGTCCATGATTTTCTACATACATATTTTAAAAGAGGCAGCAGATGGGTAGCATAAAGCCTTGGCTTCATCTCTGAGCTGTTGGGTGGGATAGGACATCAGGTATAGATGACAGCAAATCTGCCCACGACACAGTGTTCTGACAACCACAGAAATCCATGACTCTTCTCTTAATTTTAAAGGGAAACTTTAGTCAATTAGTTGTCATTTAAAGCAATGCAACTAAGTTCTGGCATCTGATGTGTCTATTATTCTTCCTTACAGTGATTTCTTATCCCTGTGATTCCAAGAAACCTCTGTAAGTTCTTTCTGGACAGTCTTTCTCCCACATTAGGAGTGCAGTATGTTTTCTGTGACAGTGCTGCCTCCACCGCTGATGACAAAACTCCGGGACTTGGACATGACGAGGGCTGGGGACAGCTCTTCCCGGTCCCCAGTCTCTGGCTGGAGGTCCCCTCCTATGGGCCCTTGCAGGCCCGTCTCCTGGATGGTCAGTTCTGAGTCTGTGTCCCCGCACTGCAGCGGGAGCAGCGCCTGGTGTTTGGTCAGGGTGTCGTTGCTTTTCTGGGCCTCCAGAGAGTTGTGATGTGTGGAATTCCTGTGAGCCATGGCGTTCTTCTGAGGCTCATCAAAGCTCAGGGAGAAAGTGACTGTGCCACTGCCAAAGATGACCTTCTGCTTGCATCTGGGTGCTGCTGTGTTGGTGGCTGCTGTGGCTGGAGGGTCAGGGGCTGCTGCAGCTGCTGCTGCTTCTGCCTCTCGGGCTGTGGGAAGGGGTCTTCGCTGTTGCTCTTGCTGCTGATGGAGGAGGAGGGGATGGATCCCGTGGAGCCCCCAAGACTGCTGGACCGCTTGCGGGAGACATTGCTGCGGCGCAGTGTGGCCCGGGCCGCCACCTTGAAAGCGTGAGCAGCGGTACTGCAGCGCACCTCCTCGATGGTGTTCCGGGAAGGTTTGAAGAGGATGATGTACACCTTGTTGAAGAAGATGCATGCCAGCAAGCCAAAGCTGGCTGCCAGGATGGCAATCACCTCCACGGCAGAGACAAACTTGCCGTAGGTGCTGGCATAGGCTGGAATGAAGGAGATCCAGACGATGAAGAAGATGAGCATGCTGAAGGTAATGAACTTGGCCTCGTTGAAGTTCTCTGGCAGCTTCCGGGACTTGAAGGCAAAGAAGAAGCAGATGGCAGCCAGCAGGCAGGTGTAGCCAATCAGGAAGCCCAGTGCCATGAGCGAGCCCTCATGGCATGTGATGAAGATGACCTCATCTTCCAGCTCGTGGTTGCGGTAGCTCGACGGGGGTGCAGTGTACAGCCAGATCACACAGATGACGATCTGCATGAAAGTGCAGAGGAAAACCAGCAGGAACTGCAGGTTAAGACCCCACCACTTGCGGTGGAAGCTGGTGGGGATCTTGGCTTCGAACACCAGGAGGACACGGTTGGTTTTCACCAGGATGCATGAGATGCAGAGCACGAAGCTGATGCCAAAAGCTGGCTGGCGCAGGCGGCACGTCCAGTCCTGGGGTTCCCCGATGAAGAACAGGGAGCTGGAGAAGCAGCAGAGCAGGGAGAAGAGAAGGAGGTAGGAGAGTTCTCGGTTGGTGGCCTTGACGATGGGTGTGTTGCAGAACTTGATGAAGACGCCCAGCACAAAGGCTGTCAGGAAAATGCCTAGCACGGCAAAGAGGGTGAGTGCGATCCCAAAGGGCTCAGTCCACGATAGAAACTCAATCTCCTTGGCAATGCAGGAAGTGTGGTTTTCATTGGACCAGAAGTCATCTGGACACTTGTCACAGGCACTGGCATCTGTAAAATGCCCCAGTAGAGAGTCCATTACTGTGTGGCATAGATCAACATCTGGGAATGTATATGGAAGTGAGGGCATGTAAGTTATTGGAGGTGGTCACTTTTTATTTTGTTTATTGATAAAATCACTGTGATTTTACACTATGAAAAATATGTGCCTTTGGCGAGGCATGGTGGTATGTGCCTATAATCCTAGCATTTGTGAGGCTGATGCAGGAGGATTGTGAGTTTGAGGCCAGCCTAGGCTACATAGTGAAACCCTGCCTTAACTTTCCCTAAAACTCCCAAAAAAGTGCCTCTGACAGTTCTGTTATTTTGTTTTTTCTTTGCACACTTGTGGGGCACATGTTTCCTTTCACATTGTTGGCCGATGGTTTGTATCAGAGACTGCTCTGCATTTCACAGGTCAGGCATGATCCACTGACTCTTCACAAGAGACAGGAGCTCTGTCTGACTTATATTGTGTTTAAAATAAATTTTATTATTTAAGGTTTGCAATCTGATGTTGTGAGAGACATACAGACAGTCAAATGGTTACTATAGCGCAGTAGAGTAACATGTCTATCATCTCATAAATAGCCTGATTTATCTTGGATACATGGAGGGAATTTTTGGAGATGCCAGAGCAGGTGTCCTTTTCAGTGTCCTCTGCACATGATCAGTGTTTTCCTTTCCCATCCCCATCCACACGCACGGCTTTCCAATGAGGGGTGCTGCAGATTCACTCAGGCAATGAGTGTTTACTAAGTCTCTGCCATGTGCAGTTTTGGTCAGGGAAGAGGGTGTAGGTTTCACATTTAGAGATGTGGATGAGATCCTGGCTATGCCATGTACTCGCTGTGTGGCTTTGTTCAGGCTCTTTAACCTCTCTGTGCCTCAATTTTCTCATTTGTAAGATGGAAGCAATAATAAGCCCATTTTTGAGGTGAAGATGAAATAATAACAATTTCAGTTAATATTTATAAGGCGCTTCCAATATGTTAGTCAGTTTTATTTAACAAATATTTATCTACCACTTACCACATGCTTTGCTAATATTAACTTCTATAAGTCTCAAAAATCTGTAAGACAAGTTTAATTGTTATCCTCACTTTACAAGAACTCGAGTCACAGGAAAAACATAAGTAAGAAGCAAACACAGTGCCAGACATGAGTGGGCAAATCCTATTAATTTGAAGCTGGAACAGATGGCTCTTTGTCTACTAAGAGCCACTGAACTCTAAGAAAAGGGAAATGCTGTTGGAGAGCAGTGTCCCAGTGAGAGAAAGATTTGTGACTGGTGAGCTAATAAGCTCTTATCATATTAAAAAGACCTCTGATGTTTCTCTTCTATTCCTCCTTGTGCCTAGCACAGCACGATGCTCAGACATGCCCTTGTTAAATAAGAAATGGACTAAGAATCTCAGCCCAGTCCTTCTGTGGGCTTCACTGACCCCAGGGCCCTGATATGGTTCAAGCCCTGCACAGGGTCTTTTAGGGGCTGTTCCTTTACCTGTCTCATCGCTGTATTCCCCATCAGGGCACTCCACACACTCAAAGCAGCAGGTCGGCTCCCCCTCAATGATCCCCTTCCTGGTCCCTGCCAGGCAGTCTCGGCTGCAGTTGGAGAAGGGCACCTGCAGGGAAGAGAGCACAAAAGAGAGTGGCTGTGGCTGGGGGTCAAGGGTCAGTCCTATAGCAGCTTTGATATATGCAAGGGGAGGAATATGGGAACCAGAATTCTGAGCTATTCCAGGCAGAAGGAGGGCCAGGGCCCTTAGCCCTGTGCCTGGTGAAAGCAAGAGACGCTGTGGGCAAGTGTATACACACACACACACACACACACACGTGCAGCTGTGTATACATGCACACACACAAACATCGATGGGACTCTGATGATGGTTAAGAGTCTATACAGTGACAGAAATCCTATTTAAATAATCCCCTCTCCCTTCCCTCCAGCTCACAGAATGAGGCACCTGTCTCTTCTTCATAGATAGGAAAGTTTGAGACCAACTGAAAGAAACAGAATGTGGGCCTACACACAGAGGGTCAGTCACAGGGGGAGGTACTGAAACAAGGAGAAATTTGTTTAAGAATGAGACTCTGAAGTTAACCATAAATTAAAATTCCTGCATCTTAATTTTAAATTTTATAGAGTCACTTCTGAGAGCCTTGCAACAGCTCAGTGAGGCACGTGATAGGCCTAGAAGAATCAAAAGAAAATGGACAAGAAAGCGGCATCAGGTAGCAACTAGCCAGAGAAAGACTTCGGGGGCTGTGTTAACATCAGATAACATATTATTTATAATTTCCTTAGTCAACTTTAGGAAGTTTGGTTAATCTTTATCCTTCCTTCTTCCCATCATTACTTGTCCATGTTTGAATCACTTCTCATCATTTTTAATGTCTACATTCAAAGTAAAAGCCAGAGCTGGGATAATAACCTCCACCTAACTCTGTGCTTCCTTCTACTCTTTACTCCTGCCTCCACCATGCATTCATTCCTGACATGATAAAGTAAGGAAGATATCAATCTGACCAACTATCAGAGAATAGGAAAACAAGGGTAAATTTCTAACTCATTCTTGTAAGGCCAACACAATAACCTTGAAACCCAAACCAAACACAAACAGTATAAAAAAGAAAAACATTACAGGCACATTAGTTACTTTAGGTTTTCTTCAGAAGCTGAATATAAGTAGAGGATTGTGTGCAAATGATTTATAAAGACAGTTGTCCCAACAGGAATGGCAAGAATGGAGGTGTAAGACATAGAAAGGGAGAAGGATTAGCAGGGGTTTGATCTCAAGCCAAGTCCATCAAGGATAGTTTCTTCATTATCCCACAGGGACCCCTGGATTCAGAGCGTCCTGACTTAAGAAGTAACTAGGGTCTCATACATCCACATTGCTTATTGGTTAAGGCTCATTGTAAGGTAATGTAAATTCCTAGGTTCTTCTACCTCTCTGAGTCTGTGGGCAAAGTGCATTTCATTACCCTGAAGCCAGTCTTCTGATAAACAACCATGTATCCTGGTTCTGGAAGCAAAACAGTCTGGTAGTTCTGAATAAATCATCTGAGGGCCTGGAAAGAGCTCCACTATTTTCCATTACTTGAAAATAGATGAAAAATACTAAAACAACTAGCAAACATAAAAAGACATAAGAAAAAAAGCACACCATAGCCATGTTGGGTTTATGCCAGGAATGTAAATAGTTTAATATTTTGAAAAATCTACAAGCTGGGTGTGCTTATTGTCTCAGCTACTCAGGAGACTGGGGGAGGAAGACTTCCTGAGCTCAGAAGTTCTAGATCAGCCTGGGCAACATAGTGAGATCTCATCTCAAAAAAGTTACAGTTAATATCATTCTATATGAGAAATATTAAAAGCATTTCTTTTAAAACAAGAATGCCTACTATCACCACTATTATTTAATATTATATTTGAGGTCCAAGCTAGTGGAATAGGCAGGGGAGAAAAGGGTAAATATATTGAGATGGACTAAATAAAACAGTTATTATTTATAGATGACATGATTTCCATATAGAAAACCTCAAAGAACTACCAAATTATTAGAAATAATTGGAAAACAACCCAAGGCTAAAACACTACAGACTGCTAATGTTCCTACCAGCTTCATTAGTTTTCTTACACAAAAACATTTGACCTCTTGTTATATGCTTTTGGAAGATTTCTAGGTCCTTTAAGTGATTGTATTTGACAGTTTTGCCCAATTTTTTTGTCCATTATAGAAATTCTGCTTCTGTTTCATCATTTCATCATGCTGGGTAACTGATTAATTGCTCTAGAAATTTATTAGTTATTGACTACCTAATGGTCTATATATTTTAGAGATAGTAAATATATAAGAATGAAGTCTTTCTTGCAAGAACATGTTAAAGGTAGAAATCAGGTCTTACTCACTTTGTAAGTCTAGTTATAAAACCTTGAGTAGTGATTGATATATAGTAAGGCTTATATTTTTCCAAAATGGCTCTTTAATAAGTTTCTCCTCTACCTACCTACCTAAGACAAGTAAAAAAGTTAAAATCACAAAAACAATCAAATCATTTCCAATTTTTCTAACAGAAAAGAAACAACTGTCTTGATAAAGGAGTTAATGAAACTTGAAGAGTTGATTAACATTATCTTCTAGTGAATGAGGATTAGAAAGGGGTCTGGTGATTGCTGAGGGTCTCATCACCCTAAGAAGGAAAGGGAAGGGAATGGTGAAAAATAATTCACATTGGTACCACACCTGGTGACAAGGCACTCGGGGGTATTCCCTCGAGTCTTCTCCATTTACCAACCCATTTGATCATTGGATGAAAGCATGGATCCTGTGTCCTACCTAAGCCCACATTAGGAATCCTTCTAAAGTTTCCTTATTAAAGAACAGTGCTTGCCATATCCTTTAGGAAGGCAAAATTCCTTTCTATTTGTAGATTTATAAAGTTCTTGTTTTTTAATTTGCAAGGTGTTGAATGTTACTAAATACTCCCTGTATTTACTGATATTGTTACTTATTTTGTTAATTGTATAAACTGTACTTACTAAGTTTGTAATGTTTAACTATCATTACATTCCTGTAAGTTCACTGCCAACTCTACACAGTTATTGTGTATATATATATTTTATACATTGCTAATCTAGTTTGATGGTAGTTTATTTAGGATTTTAAAATCTATGTTTAATAAGATTGCAAGTTATTCAAAACACTGGCCTATAAGTACCTATGCTTATATTACTCTTGTCTGTTTTTTTGGTACTGAGATATTAGCTTCATAAAATGAGTTTAGTAACTTCCTTTTTGATTTATTTTTGGCTGTAAGTGCCAAAAATCTCAAAATAACAATGCTCCAAAACATTGCAATGTATTTATCTTTTCTATAACTATCTGGGAATGTGGTCCAGGACAACAGAGCATTCCATGGTGTTGGAAACCTGAGCACTTTTTACTTTATCTTTCTGACATGTTAGGTGTTTGCCTCATGGTCCTCGATGATGGTGTCTAGTTTCTGGAAGACAAGACAGAGGGCGGAATGAAGAGAACAAAGGACACTTGTAGATACTTTCTTAAATAATATTTCCAGAAACCATCACATAAAATTGCCACTTTCTATCCCAGTCTTCAGGACTTAGTCACAGAGCCACACTTAGCAAAACAGGAGGCAGGTGATCGTCATCGTTATTTGTGGTCATGTGTCCAGTTAAAATGGATTCTATTATTAAAGAAAAAGGGGAGCATAAAAACTGGCAGGCCTTTAGCAGCTCTTCAGCTGTCTCTTTTTCTTTCCTTCATAATCGTTAAGAGCAGGTTTAAGGCCACATAGTGATCCAGTTCGAGAGCTGAGTTCACATCCAGGTCAGTCTCCAAAGTCTACACTTTCACTATAGTAAACCTGGATATATTCTAATCAAGGATTAGAAAATTCACCTCTGAGTCCTCTTGCTAATTCTTTTGGCATCATCAGCTAAGGAAAATTCCTGTCACCTTAAGAGTGGCTTGAGGCAACTACTAGGAAAATCCACTGTGCAAAAAGCTATCAATACTTCTCTAAGTCTCCCAACAGCCTTATTAAAGATGTCTGTCCAATTCTGGCAAGGAAGCTCCTCTGAACCCCAAGATCCAAATGCATATGTTTCTTTTCTTACTTGTTACAGCAAAACAAAGAAATAATTATTGGCAGAGAGTATAGAGGCATGAAACACTGAAGTCAGAATTGGGTCCTTAGAGTCTGGTCTCAGCCCTTACAGTGACCATCCATCTGCCTAGAAAGTCAATTTTTCAGCCCTAAGTCTCAGTGTCATCAATTTCAAATTGTACCAAGTGATGTGTTGTAAGTAAATGGAAAAGATTGACTAAGGTCTATGATGCTAACAGTCTCAATGGTAGAGCACCTACCTAGCACGCATGAGTCCTAAGTTTGATCCCAGCTTCACAAAAAAAGAAAAAGATATAGTGCATATACAAATACTATTATATGCAGGAGGGGTGATATCAATAGCAAGTTGTTGTGAGATATGTGGAGAATTTATTAATAATTTATAGTTAAATATAGATGTTTTTATGGTCATTTCTACAAAATATTTCAGAAAAGGAAGGGTTAGAGATTAGACCCTAAGACTTGTTGACTAGCTCTCTCTCTGCTCTCTCTGTCTCTGTGTGTGTGTCCATGTCTTCA